AAGTCCTACTCATTGCCTTCTCGTGGCGGGGGTGTTGTTTACGAAAATGAGAGGACGAAAAGTGAACGTCCGGCGCTTTAACCGGATCACAAACCAATGGTGCACATGGGCTCCAGTATCCTGCGGGAACAAATGGCGTATGAGCCAATCGTTGGTCACCGGATACCATGGGATTGCATCTCCTTACGATGCTCCACTGCCTTGTGGACCATTAGGTCAAAAGCTCGGGGTGTGGCCCCCTAAGATTACCACCTGCTTCGGTTTGGGCACCCGGGCAGTATCACAGCCCACACACAAACGATGAACTCTATGTCTATGGCAACTACTTTTCTCGCTCCGAAAAACAATCAATCGATTCAAATAATTATCATTACTATTATTGTCATTATTAATACTATTATTATTATTATTACCATTATTGTCATTATTATTATTATTATTATTATTATTATTATTATTATTATTATTTTCCACATTATTCACCCTCTTTTATACTTATACAGCGGCTCGTCTTTGGTGGAAATTCGACGGTATCTAAACATTCTCGAGTCACTGTCTGGTTGAAAATTGTATGTTACCACCGAATACGAGAACTGAAGCAGTTTTTCTGAAACCACGTGCACCATTCAAACTGGATGCCTTCAACGTTCGCACACTTATGCAGGTTGGTCAACAGATAGGGCTGGCTATGTCTTTGGAAAGTCTTAATATTGATGTTTGCTGTCTATCCGAGACCCGTATTCAAGACTCTGGTGAAGTACTACAAATTCGCTCTACATCTGTCACTTCAAAAAGCTTGTTCTATGTGCGCTTATCCGGGGAGGCAGCACTAATCGATTGGATCCCCATTAACAGTAAGTTATGTGCTGTTAGATTAGAGAGTTCCATCAAAGTGAGAAGAAATCGGCGTGAGAAACGATGTCTTTTCGTCATCTCCGCCTATGCCCCGACAGATTGCAGCCCGGATGCAATCAAGGATGAGTTTTACCACCAGTTATCTGTTCTTCTCCAGAAAGTGCGTTCGACAGATATTGTAGTACTAGCCGGAGACTTGAATGCTCAGGTCGGGCGTCTAGGCACAGAAGAGAGTCGTTTAGGTGGCCGATGGGGACTTGTTGGTCGCAGGTCAGATAACGGGGACCGTCTACTGCAACTATGCACAGACCACAACCTGTTTCTGGTTGGCACTAACTTTCGGCACAGTCATCGCCGATGTGCCACCTGGCGTCCTCCCTCTGCATCTCAAGCCTGGACTCAGATTGATCACATCGCGATCAGCTTCCGCTGGCGTGGTTGTGTACAGGACTGCCGCTCCTTTTGGAGTACCTATCTGGACTCTGACCATGCCTTGGTCTGCGCCAATCTTGCCTTACTTTTCAGTGGACAACAAAGTGACCGCCATCAACGGATTGATATTAGCAAGCTGGTTGCAGCTTCTGTTGCAAGTAAGTATCGAACCGAGCTAGCCTCTAGGCTAGCTACTATTCCACTGAAAAGTATAGATGAGCATTCGTTGCAATTGCATGACGCCACAAAAATGGCGAGTGAAGCCGTTTGCGGCTTCGCGAAACGTCCCGCTGATAAGCACTGGGTTTCTTCTGGTTCCTTACAACTTATTGAAGCCCGTCGGTCTACTCCGGGTGACCGTGAGTTTGATCATAAACGAAGGATGTTACGTAAGGAAATTGGGCAAAGCTTGCGTAAGGACCGAGAAGCCTGGTGGTCGGAGCGTGCTAATGAGCTGGAAGCAGCAGCTGCATCTGGTAACTACCGGAAGCTCTTCCAGCTCATCCGAGCCACTGGCAGTAAGAAGTCTGGTGTGAGTGAAACAATCTGCGAGGATGATGGGATGCCAATCACTAACATCCATCGACGTCTTGGACGATGGGCAGAATTTTTCGAAGGGCAGTTCAACTGGCCTGCTGCTCCGGCAACATCGGTCAGACTTTCCTGCCCTCCATGGCCGGTGACGACTGATCCACCAAACGAGGAGAAAGTCCGCAAGGAACTCCAACTCTTGAAGCGTTACAAATCACCTGGCCCAGATGACTTACCTCCGGCTCTTTTTAAAGATGGTGGTGACTTTTTGACTAAGGAATTGACGACGTTGTTTACAAAGGTTTGGGAATTAGAGAGTGTACCAACGTCATGGAATGAGTCGATAGTTGTTCCTATCTTTAAAAAGGGTTCACGTCATTCCTGCAACAACTATCGGGGGATAAGTCTAGTTCCGATTGCGTCCAAGCTATTGGCTTCCGTCATACTTCGTAGGTTGTTCAAAACCCGAGAAAGATTGACTCGCGAGGAGCAGGCTGGGTTTCGTTCTGGTCGAGGTTGTATTGATCATATCTTCACCCTCCGCCAAATGTTAGAACATCGCCATACTTATCGAAGGCCAACAATCGTAGTGTTTTTTGACATCAGGGCTGCCTTCGATTCGTTGGACAGGACTGTTCTCTGAGATTGTCTATTGAAGAAGGGTGTGCCTGAGAAGTTTATTAACATACTAAAAGCCCTATATAAAAACACCTCAGGCAGAGTGAGGGCATACAACCACCTCTCTCCGTTGTTCCATTCGAGTAGTGGGGTTAGGCAGGGTTGCCCAATCTCACCATTCCTCTTCAACTTTGCCATCGATGACATTCTGGAAACAGCTCTGATGAATGTAAGTAATGGTGGTGTGGATCTGTTGCCTGGAGAAAGACTTCTCGACCTTGAGTATGCGGACGATATTGTCTTACTGTGCGATAATGCCCAAGGCATGCAATCCGCACTTAATCAGTTGGCAATCAGTGTCCGTAGGTATGGTATGTGCTTTGCACCTTCGAAGTGCAAAGTACTTCTACAAGACTGGCAGGATTCCAATCCTGTACTCACCCTGGACGGTGAGCAGATAGACGTAGTCGAGAAGTTCGTGTATCTGGGTAGCTGTATAAGTGCTGGTGGGGGTGTGAGTGATGAGATCAATGCACGTATAGTGAAAGCCAGAGTGGCTTATGCCAATCTGCGCCATCTTTGGCGCCTTCGTGATGTTAGTCTGGCTGTAAAAGATCGGATCTACAACGCGTCGGTGAGAGTAGTTTTGCTCTATGCTTGTGAAACCTGGCCTCTCCGAGTTGAGGACGTTAGACGACTCTCTGTGTTCGATCATCGCTGTCTCCGAAGGATTGCTGACATTCAGTGGCAACACCATGTCAGTAATACAGAGGTTCGGCATCGTGTGTTCGGGCACAGAGATGATAATTCAATTGGTGTCACCATCTTGAAACACCGACTTCGGTGGCTTGGACATGTTCTACGAATGTCGTCCCAGAGAATTCCACATCGTGCATTATTTGCCGACTCTGGGACTGGTTGGAAAAAGCGGAGAGGTGGTCGTCAGTGCATGACATTGTGTCGTGGTATGAAAGAAAGCTGCAAAAGACTGGCTTCTGTCGGTCCTTCACGACTCCCTGGTTGGGGTCTGAGAGATGGTGCTACACAGTGGCTAGAGACGTTATCAGATATGGCTCAGAATAGAAGCCAGTGGCGATCCTGCTGTAACCTTCTTTTACTTTCTTCATAAAAAGTGGTTGTGTCTCCCTTACTTGAAAGATTTCTTCTGATTGTACCTTTCCGTTCCCTCGTTACTACCACACTACCTTACACCAATCTCTTCGTTATCGTTCTCTTTTTCTTTTGTGCTCCTTAGTTTTTTTTCTATCTCTCTTCGAATTTTCATTGTTTTGTGTGGCGCATATATATTGGCGCTCTCTTGTACCAATATTTATGTGTTCAAATAAATAAATAATAAAATGCTATTGAATCGTTGTCTTACTGATATTGAACTAAATTTTATCCACAAAATAACGTTTTAATAAAATTTTCATTAACCATAATATTCATACTACACTAATGTTAGTGTGGTTCCATAATTTATCATGTTCAATGGTAAAATACAAGTCTCTTTTATTGTGTGATATACTTAATCATACAAAGTTATATTTCAAGTTATCAGTTACTTACCTACTTACTCCTGTTACTCCTTGTGAAGGAGCATAGGCCGCTCACCAGCATTCTTCATCCAACCCTATCCTGGTCTTAATGTGATCTATAATTTGTTTGTATCATATTTCACTAAGTTCAAAAAGAATAATTTTCTTTCTGTGATAAAATGTAGTAAGTTCAATATATTTTCTTATCTCTTTTCAAGATCTATTTAATTTACTTGTTCAATGATTTGTTCAAGTATTCTTTTAAATCGTTATTTTTATCGATGTTCATATTTAAGATGGAACAAATATTGTGAAAACTGTATCTTTTTCTAACTAAATTGGAGAAAATTATTGCTTATATATTTATGAAACTCTTGGGTCGTTTTTTAGTCAAATTTTTCTGTGTAGTGTATAAACTATTGCTGTATATTTCGTCTTCCTTATTTATTAGTTACGTACTTGTTAATCAGTTTCTCTTTCACTTAAGACGCAGTTATGCACACATTATAATTCCCTATTAATGTTGTTGTACGGTCTGGAATTCACTGTACATTATTGTATGAGTTTGAATTGTAAAGAAATTATCTGCTCTCTATGCTCTTTTATTACACTGAATGTTGAGGAAGCTACGTCGAGGACACCAACTAGGATTCGCATTATCTCGGTCATAGTAAAAGCTTAACTCTTATCAGTCATAGCTTGTGTGTGCTCAGATCACAATAGAAGTTTGGTTTATAGGGAATTGTAGTCTAGATTCTGATTGGTAAACCTTGTCAAGTGATACTGATTAAACACGATCGTGACAGCTTACTAAATGTTATTATATTAGTGCCGCTTTACATTTTTATGTATATATATCACTTGAGTGTATACCTTACCCCTCTAATGAATACTGAAAATATTTCGCTTAATATACAAGTGAATGATATTATACAGCATGTTTGTTCTCAACGTGTGCAAGATTTCATCATTGTATTACATTAGTTTTTGTATGTTGTATGGAACAATGCTTCTTCTTTTTCACAGTATTAACATACGATGAAAGTAATCGCGATGAAGTGGATGCCAATGCTGCATTAGCGGAACTAGAAAAGATGCCTCATATCGGTGTCACCAAAACTGGACAATCTCGTGGAGTATTAGATAAAATTGATGGAATACGGACAAGTATTGATGGTGTTGACGAGAATACCTCAAATGATATTCAACGTAATGATAGTACGTAATTTACATTAAAATTAAGCAATATTATAAAAAAGTCTTTGTAATTTCCACTATTTTTCTGTTCACAGTGTTTTCATTGAGTTTCTTATTTCTACAAACTGTATCATATATCGTTGCTTTTCACATTTAATTCCTTTTGTGCTAACATCAAATGACTATGGAGTGTTGATTCTATGCCCTCGTTGATATCAGAGTTGTCTTCAGTGTATATTCACATAAACAGGTCAAAGATTGTGGATCGGCTCACTAGATGTAACGTACTCTTTAAGAAATTCATATTAATTTCAAATATCATAGGACATCGTATCGGTAGAATCATAAGCAACATCCAAGCGATCCGTCTCATCTGAACGAAATTCTTTGTCGATATTTCAATATAATTCAATAATAATATTTATATTATTAGTTTCTACTTAATGTATTTTCTTTTTAGAATAGTTCATGGTCTAGTTTTCCCCCTACTAATTCTCACGTTAAATAACAACCATCTGGAAGCCTATCTGCGGTAGTTAGTTGTTGATGTCTATGCAACATTCCAAATTATTTTAACTAACCACCGGTTACGGTGGCTATGGACAACTTTATTTCTTATGGTCCCACTATTTGTAATTGATTTGCTAATGGAACCATTAACATCCGCGATTAAATATTTTTATTATCAAGGTGTTCGAAATCAATCACCTCCAGATAAATTCCTGAAGTTTATGAAATTGTGCATCATTTTGTTTCACAATGTCTTTTGTCATTAATACGTGGATCGATCCAAACTTTATATATATAATGAGAACGGTTATGTCGAAATAACTTATGTTACGGCTTCTATGAAGTTAATTTTCTTATGTAGTACATTTGGGTCCTTATAGTCCGATTTATTTCAACTTGAGGTTTTCAACTGAATTGGATAAGGCGATATAACAATACGTGAATTTCCATGTAGTCATTTTGCACATGACTGACTTATGCAATCACTAATGTACATCAAACTTACAAAACATGTTATTCATTTTCGATAGTTATTTAGTACTTTTTTTTGTTTGTTTATTATTTCTGCTCTCCCTAGTGAAAATCGACTGACTTGATTCTAAGTAGTATGGTTTGTAAATATACTGAGATGGGAATTTGGTATTTAGTAGCACAGTAGATTTATTACCTTAAATTATTGAAATCTCACTCCTCTAAACTTAATAATCATATATATGAAAGTTCTTATCTATTCACCTGTAGGACTGAATCAAGTTTGCGAATTGACGAAGTGAACATTTTTAAGAGATGCAAAAATTATCATTAGATCGATAAAATACCTCATAATCCTTTAATATCTTTGCAAATAACTATCTGAGCTCTTCTTTACTACTACTACTACTGTGAATTTTAGGATGCTGTCAATCATATTACTCTTTTGTCAGCTGATCTAAATCAAAGTGAATTTAGTCATTGATGTTTATGTAAACACTACAATGATGTGTTTCCTATGTATCGATTATCTGATGTAGTTTGTTGTTTTGTAAAAGTTAAGTCATCTTTGTGTACAACTTAGTATACAGTTTCAATTGTGTTTGGCATTTTGTCTAATATTTTTTATCGCTCTATCCATTATGTTATATATATATTTAATTTTGAACACCATATTTTTTGATAAATATGAGTTTGATTTCACTGATTTTATTGACCTTGGTTTATCGTGTCTTTGCTAGTTATCCCAATGTCAGAGGAGGAAAAAGCTCAATTATTATCATCCGATGCTTTTCTACGCTTTCTTGAACGTTCTTCACGTATAATTGAACGAGCGATTTGTCATCCAGATGAAGGTATCTTTTTGGACTATTCCGGTCAAGATCTTGAAAGTAAAGAGTGAGTATATTTGGTCATTTATGTTCGTTATCCTTACGTACTTAAGTCTGTTACCTCTCATGGAAGAGCATAGGTCACCCACCAGGATTCTCCATCAAACTCTGTCCTCGGAAGTCCTTTCAAGTTTCTATTCCATTCTCTTGATGTCTGCTTCTAATTCTCGACGCAATGTGCTCCTTGGTCTTCCTCTTTACTTTTACCATTCAGGACTCCAAGTTAATGCTTGCGTCGTGATGCAGTCTGGTGATTCCCAAAATGTATATCGTATCCACCTCCATCGTCTTTTATCTAGTTTCCTCTTCAGCTAGATTTTGGTTCATTCTTTGATACGGTAGATTGTTGCTGATAGTATCCGGTCATTGGGTATGGAGTATCTTGCTTAGACAACTGTGTAGAAATACTTGTGCTTTTCTGATGATGAGTGTGATGGTTCTCCAAGTTTCAGCTCCGTACAATAGGACTGTCTTGATGTTCGTATTGAAGATTCCAACTTTGATGTTGATTGATAGTTGTTTTGAGTTCCATATATGGAGTAAACAGCCTTGTCTGACACTGTTCCACACTTGGTATGCATCTGTCCTCCATGCACGACTTTTCACTTTAGTTCATCGTATGAATTCCGTATGATGTTGACAATCTCCTTCAATACATAATAGTGTCGAAGAAGGTCCCATTAGGTTTTCGTATCCACGGTGTAACACGCTTTTTCACAATCATGGAAGTTGATGTATAGTTTCGAGTTCCATTCAGTTGACCGTGGAAGTGAACCGGATCGTATCTTTTATTTTAAGTAAAGCGTTTCTTAGAGTGTTAGTTGTATTATAGAAGGCCTTAATTTAGCATGTTTTTAATGTATATTGTAATTCTTCTGTCGTACCTTAGCGGTAAGATAAAACCACAGTACCAATCCAAAACGAGTCGCAAACAGGATGAAACGTGCGTTTTGGATTCCACTCCTAGCCACCAGCTGTCTCTGCTTATAATGCTTGTGACCCGAGGCAATACGCATAGTATGCACGTATGCCAATAAGAGATTGATCAATTTCACAGATACACAGACGTACATGATCAGTAATCAGTGCTTTATAATAGTCTTAAAATAACTGGTCGTCTAATTATAACTTCTAACAACATGATACAGTTATGTCTGTTTTTTGTTTAAAATTCGGTAACCTCGAAGTTAGGTGTTAGTTCTTGTTGTTTTCTCTCCATTTTTTGATGTAACTTGTAACATTCATTTGGTAATAATTCCCGAACTCAACTCTAGGATGCATGTACATCGTGCTGACAAGTCCCAAATAGGACGAAATGCTCTTCTTGAATTTGGTCGCTAGCCACATTCCGTCCATTCACTTTTTATGGTTTCTTGTTCTGTGTTTTTTAGGTATAGGGTGCCTGACAGAGGTTATGAATCAGTTAGTGGGTTAGTGAATATCTTCACCAATTGAGGTGTTTAGAATATGTGTCGCCCATGCTTAACCAGTGGCTACTTCGACAAGCGATGCTTTACTTATTGGTTTTCTTTGGAATCAACGTCTTACGTGTACAGCAGTGCAGAAATACAGTAGAATCTTTTCAATCCGTTTGTGTTTCAGTATCGTTTTGTTATTGATTAAAATCAAATTTTAATTCTTATATACTTATTTATCACTTTCTTGTTTTAGGTCTGATGAATTGGTAACTGTATCGAATGAATTTTTTGATGAAAGATGGTCTAAACATCGTACAGTCACTGGTTTAGATTGGTCAACTATATTTCCAGAATTATTACTTACAGCATATCATATGAATGAAAAAGCTGTTCATGAACCTGAAGGTGTTTGCTTAATGTGGAATATGAAATATCCAACGAAATTAACACCGGAATTTATATTTGATTGTCAATCCCCAGTTACTTCGGCTAGTTTATCACGTTTCCATCCAAACATTGTAGTTGGTGGTTCTTATTCTGGACAGATTGTCTTATGGGATAGTCGGTAGGTAAACTACTTTTTTTCTAAAAAGATACTCTAACTTAATGAAATCTTAAAAATCCTGTACAGAGGAGTAGTTCAGTGGTTAATGTATCCGAAATTCAACCATTAATGCTGAAGTTTAAATCGTGTTCTACCTATTTTAGTTCAATTCAATTTATTGTATCGTACTAGCCGTCACACTTAAAATGTAACTCGAATGCAGGTGCTCGAATATGTTTCTGGTAATGAGTTCATAAAAGAAAAAAACTCTATACTACCTAACAAACCATTGAAAAAATACAGAATGTTAGTGTAAAACATGTAACTAAAGCGTGAGATTGTTGTTTATAAGGCTAGCCTAACATTTTCTTTCCCGTTATTAGGTCAAGAAAAGTTATTTAATGTAACTAAATCAATGAGATTTGTTCTAAAATGTCGTATGTCATCTGTAACTGTCTACTATTTTCAATATTGTTTATAATTATTTATCAAGTTTAAATTCTTAGACAACTTAGTTCAGTAGTCTGGTATTCATTGCATTTACTATGTTTTATTCCATTGTACTTGTTTTACTCCCAAAGTTGCTTTTGATTTATCATTCTTAGTACTCTTACAAAATGTCTCGAACAAATGTCCTAGACTTCATTTCACTCTTCCTTAAATTCATTCTTGCTTAACATACTCAGGTTAATGCGATTACCTCTGTTGACATTTCAATAATGCTCCCAAGAATATGCCCTTCACACAATTATAAATATACCCCGGAAGAGGGTAATTTTACATTAGTTTTCTGTAGAAGCATACACCACTCATGCTCTTACGTTACGACTTGAACAGCATCGCTCAATTATGTGGCGCAACCACATAGATACCAAGAACCCTGATAGAAGAAGAACTTCCCATTAATCATACTTTATATCCTTACCTTATTATAGAATTTAAACCCAGATTATGCTATGTATTTGAATTGGAACAATGAATTTCGTTTGTAACTTATTATTCCAAGTAAACTTTTTGGGTACAGAGATGTTAGTTGTAGTATTTGATGAGGTCGATGAATTAATGACTTTTGACTACTTGGTCTCACGTTCAAGTTCTGTCCTATCTACTTGTGTTTGACCGCCTGGGTAAGATCACTAGTCTTCACACATAAAGTAACTCAAAGCCGATTGCATGAACCAGTACTTGGTTGTATAGGTTACCTCGTCACATTTATAAACGAGTTTCCTCTCTCTCTCTCTCTCGAATTATAGAGTCAATAAATGAACATCAGTTCAGCGTAGTCCATTAACATCATGGGCTCATACCCATCCAGTATTTGCAATTACACTAATTGGTACTCAGAATGCTCACAATATTATTAGTTTAGGATCAGATGGCTCATTATGTGCATGGAGTCTAGAAATGTTAGCACAATCAAGAGAGATAAATATAGTTTGTGAAATGAAGTCTGGTGGTATGTTCGATCTTTATCCTACATGTATGTCATTTTTTGCTAATGATGTAAATAATTACGCTGTTGATGCTGAAAATGGTAATGCTTATTATGGACAACGGCATAGCAGGTAATAAAAAATTAATATTTATTTATCTGTTTAAATTTAACGATAAGCTTCACAGTCCAAGCACATCATTATTATCAATAAGTGCTTGAATTATCGTATTGTAAATATTCAGAACTGAATTCTTGTATTCAACATGTAATCACAATCCATCTATTCTAGAGAGCTTGTGCAAATATATATTTTGAGACTGTGCACACAAGATGCACGTATGTCAATAATGACTGATCATAATTCAGCCCTGAATAATAACAAAGGGATCATTCAAACCTTTATTAAATTAATATATTTATGACAATCTACCCAATGCTCAATTTATTAAAAATTATCAAATCGAACCTAGGTAATGATACCTAGAAATGATGTTAATGTCATACTCATTAAATATGTTATATTATACTGATGTATCTTCAAAGCAACTTTCAACTCAACTCTTTCAGGTAATTATTTCCATCAATTTTGTAATTATGATTTCTGAGTATTACAGGTTTTATGCGGCTGATAAGAAGCGAGAGAAATAGGATGAATTCATGGTTTTATGCTCCACTCTTTGTTCCTAATGTGTTCAAAAAGATAGAGCGAACTATGTGTATTAACTAATATAGAAAGTTAGAAGGTTGACTAGATGACATGGAGGATTAATTAATTTATGTACGATATGATGCTGGACTATTTGATGTGCTGAAGCGATACCTAATTGTTTAAGGTTTTCAATTGTCAGTCTAAGTTTCATGCTTGAACTCCAGTCTATCTACTTTAGTTTGAGCAGCCGAGTGGTATCACTAGAATATAGTTATGCTAATACTTACTTGGCAGATAAGTTAATCGGTAAAATTGATTTGTCAGTATATGGATGTGGATATTGTTGCGTTTCACTGAGACCACAAACCGATCGATGTCAAACCACCATTAGAAAGCTGAGAGTACTGGACTGCCATTTCGTGTATCCACGATCCTGCACGTAGGATTTGAACCCAGGATGTTAGTTCGGTGATCTGAAGATTAAGCGTTCTCACATGAGACCAAAGGTTCTGGGTTCGAGCTCCTCATGGAAGTTGTGGATGTGCCCTGCTTGGTAGTCCCATACAACGACAAAACGGCCGTCTGGTGCTTTCATTTTTCCAGTGGCGATCTAATATTAAACGGTTTATGATCTCGATTAAAATTGATATGCGTGAATGCAATTAATATAACAGAAAGGTTTGGAAGTTAAAAGTTTCTTTTATGCATAAAATGTTTGAAAATTATTAGTTGATATCTGAGTGATAAATAACATCAGTAGTAGTTACAAAGTGTTAAAAAATTAGTCACAGTTAGTTGCAATAGTATTAATATATTTGTTATTTATCTTGTCTTGAACAGTAAATATTTCATTTCAATAATCACTATTGTCATACCTTTATCTTTGGTGTTAAAAATCCTGTTTTTTTATTAGTTTTTATTCATTCATTGTTTATGGTTTCTTATCTCACACTTTATGCACAGAATGCAGACAATCCACTAATCACACTTGTTGAAAAATAAGTTCTCAATTATAATTGTGCTTTCAAATGAATTTATACATATTTCCCTACACCTATTATCCCTCGTAGGGGAACATAGGCCGATCATAAGTATTATCTATCGAACTTTTTCCTAGACAATCCTTTTCAGTTGTTTCCAGTTGCTACTTCTAAATAAATTTATTACTAATTAACTACGTCATTTAACAATAGTGTTTGTTACATATGATTGTTAATTGGTGAAAGGAACTTATGAATTATTTGTTTAAATTGTCATTTTAGTGAAGAAATTTTATCATAATGGTTAAATAAATCAGTATACTGAATCACATTGATTACTGTCTAATTTTCAATATTCAGCTAATCTGTACTGTTCTAAATTTGTGTAAGCGCCTGTTTATTTCATTTGATGTTCAATTCAAACATCTGATATGTACTGTATATAGACAGACCTCTTTTATATTGCAGATAGACAAATACACTCAGCATAGAAGGTCGAAGTGTATCTACCTTCTTTTATTTTCATAGTTTCCATGATACATATTAAAATTCTTTTAGAATATAAATTCAGAGTTTTTCATTGTTGAATTTTACCAGTTGTTAAAGTAATCTACAAGGTAAACATGCATCGTAGAAGTTTATTTAGACGTGTAAATTAACAAGTTTAAGTAAGAAGTTTAGTTTATTAAATTCATTATTGACTTTAATGAGTTGTATTACATAAAAAATATAATTAAACTAATAAATCTTATGAATTCTCTTTAGTCGTACAGTTGTTGCTGAAGAAACTTCACGTCATGTTCCATATAAAAGAAAATGGTGCACCTCTTACAGCTATCTCTATCCTGGTGCTTTTAGTTTTTCATCACTGTTTCTTACTGCATCATTAGATTGGACTGTACGTTTATGGTCTACACGTGAACATAAAGCTATACATACATTTGGTGATTATTTGGATTATGTGTATGATGTATGCTGGAGTCCTATACATCCGGCTGTATTTTCCGCTGTTGATGGTACTGGAAATTTAGATATATGGGATATGGATCGCGATGCTGAAAAAATTATTATTATTCGTTTCTTGAAACTTGTGTATTACTGTTGTTATTTTGATAGTGATAATTTCAATTTCACTGTTGAAAATAGCTTGTATGTATTGTATTAACTTTAGTTGATTGGTTTGGGTGATCATTTATACGGAACTTTTGACTGAACCATCATCCCTTCTACTAATCAGTATGTTTTGAAAAGATTTAACTATTGAGTTATAAGCTAACATTTCATTCTACATATGAAGAATTTGACATAGCCATATAATTCTGTCAATTGTTTGATGCATTTGGCATTGAATCATTTCGTATTCTATCTACTTCGGTTTGAACAGTCGAATGGTATTATTAGCTTTTGTACAAATGTTAAGGTTGAATTTTTCTATTTCTGAAGATCAATGTCAATACATTTTGCAAGCTGTTATAACGGAGCGAATATTAGTGAAGCAGTTTCATATTGAGAACTGTTTTGCGAGTTGTTAACTCTTACATATGTTGATCAATCGCACTTGTGAATATTTTACTTCATTTCAGCCACAACTTTCGGGGATTATGTTCGAAGGATCCTTCAGTTCCTTCTATGTATTTGCTTCTACAGGTATATTTAATTTCTTAAATATATGTACTGGTGACCCTAGAAGGGTATCGGCTCACTTTTGATTGATTTATGGAACATTTTTTGTTATGCACCAAGAGTAGTTAGGCTACAAGAAAGCGTCTCTTTGACCCTGTTTTAATCCTTTTGTCAATCCTACCTGAAACCTTCCGACATTTGAATGCGAGACGGATGTAGACAGGTTTTCTGTTAACAGTTGTTTTTGGGGACTTTCTGTAATAATTTTTTCTTGACCTTACATTGTCATTAGTAAGTGTTTGTAAATTGATCTACAGAAATTTAGAACTGAATTTCCGAATACTTCGCTTTACCTGTATTCGTTTTATTTCATTGCTTTGACTTATTTACTTCATTTCAGATTCCTGTGGCTCGTCGCAAATTAGGATTATCAAGCAATGTAGACACATCTTCATCGTTATCATCTGGTCAAGTTGGTGTTGCTTTAAATAAATGCCGTTGGAATATTGCAGGCACACATGTAGCTGTTGGAGATGATACCGGTCGTGTTACTGTTTGTAGTGTTCACGAAAGTCTTTCTCAACCTGTCACTGAAGATTGGTCTAGTTTCGCACATGTATTAGCAGATCTTAAACACTATGAAATGGAGCCAGAAGTAGAAACAGGAGCATAATTTTGGTTTAAGGCCTGATTTTCCCTATTTTTTTTTGTATTTCTGTGAATCATACATACCTCTTCAATGTAACACAAATCAACTTCAATCTTATTTTAGGTTGTTTTGAGAATTGAAGTTGCATTTGTAAGTTGACATTAACATATTTGGTTTTCATGACAATTGATAAAGTACTTTAATATAGGGGTTCCGCTTAAAAAATATCTTTAAAAGGCTATGTTGGGTTTCTTTCTTTTTAAAAAAAAACCTTCTGTGACTTGTATTTTGTTTTATTTTAGTTCTGTCTAATTATGTAAGTAGGTTAAGATGACAGTGTGCAATGGAGTTTTCAGTTTCTCCACTTCTATTCAAATTTTTGTTATTTGTGATAATACTCTTAAATTTCATAATATTTTGTCTGATTCGGTTACTTTTGATGCTTCCTTACTTATAAGTATCATAAATAATAATGAATAATAAAAATCGTCTTTAGTTTTCATTCTAATCTGCCCTGGTAGGCCCCCAAATACCCTGGTACGGTCGAGAGCGGGGTGGGTCCGCCCTCCCTCTCGAAATACTCTCACATGGCCACGCGTATACAGCCTCTGCCAGGGAAGTCCTACTCACTGCCTTCTCGTGGCGGGAGTGTTGTTTACGAAAATGAGAGGACGAAAAGCGAACGTCCGGCGCTTTAACCGGATCTCAAACCAATGGTGCACATGGGCTCCAGTATCCTGCGGGAACGAATGGCGTATGAACCAATTCTCGGTCACCGGGAATGCATTTCCTTACGATGCTCTACTGCCTTGTGGGTTAAACCTTTAGGTCAAAGGCTCGGGGTGTGGCCCCCTAAGATAACCACCTGCTTCGGTCTGGGCACCCGGGCAGTATCACAGCCCACATGCAAATGATGAACTCTCTATATCTATGGAAATTACATTTCTCGCTCCGAATAACAATCAAATGATTCAAATTATTGTCATTACTATTATTATTATTATTTACTACATCATTGTTCACCCTCTTTTATTCCTACTCCGTCTATACTTATTTTTCGGTTTATACAGCATGCTCGTCTTTGGTGGAAATTCGACTGTATCTAAACGTTCTCGAGTCACTGTCCGGTTGAAAATTGTATGCTACCACCGAATACGAGAACTGAAGCAGTTTTTCTGAAACCACGTGCACCATTCAAACTGGATGCCTTCAACGTTCGCACACTTATGCAGGTTGGTCAACAGATAGGGCTGGCTATGTCTTTGGAAAGTCTTAATATTGATGTTTGCTGTCTATCCGAGACCCGTATTCAAGACTCTGGCGAAGTACTACAAATTCAATCTCCATCTGTCGCTTCGAAAAGCTTGTTCCACGTGCGCTTATCCGGGAACCCTGTGGCATCTTCGTTTGGTCTTGCTGGCGTTGGTGTCGCACTAAGCGCTAGAGCTGAGGCAGCACTAGTTGATTGGATCCCCATTAACAGTCGGCTATGTGCTGTTAGATTAGAAAGTTCCATCAAAGTGAGAAGAAATCGGCGTGAGAAACGATGTCTTTTCGTCATCTCCGCCTATGCCCCGACAGATTGCAGCCCGGATGCAATCAAGGATGAGTTTTACCACCAGTTATCTGTTCTTCTCCAGAAAGTGCGTTCGACAGATATTGTAGTACTAGCCGGAGACTTGAATGCTCAGGTCGGGCGTCTAGGCACAGAAGAGAGTCGTTTAGGTGGCCGATGGGGACTTGTTGGTCGCAGGTCAGATAACGGGGACCGTCTACTGCAACTATGCACAGACCACAATCTTTTTCTGGTTGGCACTAACTTTCGGCACAGTCATCGCCGATGTGCCACCTGGCGTCCTCCCTCTGCATCTCAAGCCTGGACTCAGATTGATCACATCGCGATCAGCTACCGCTGGCGTGGTTGTGTACTAGCCTGCCGCTCCTTCTAAAGTACCTATCTGGACTCTGACCATGCTTTGGTCTGCTCCAATCTTACCTTACTTTTCAGTGGCCAACGAAGTGACCGCCATCAACGGATTGATATTAGCAAGCTGGTTGCAACTTCTGTTGCAAGTAAGTATCGAACCGCGCTAGCCTCTAGGCTAGCTACTATTCCACTGAAAAGTATAGATGAGCATTGGTTGCAATTGCATGACACCATGTATATCTCTTTAAATTCACTGAAGATATGCCAGTAAATTGAAATCGCATCAGAAAAACAAAACTATTATATTTTTGACAAATTTATTTTATTATCAAAATGTCATGTAAGCTGGTGTAAACAACAGATTTCTAGTTACTGACAAACTCCAGATGGGAAAATTCAAAAAAGAAAACACGACGACAACAACAACAGCTGTCGAATGTAGAACACGTTGAATGAATAGTAAAAGCCATATGTTGTTATATCAGTCAACTACAAAATAAGACCAGGTACATATATGAATTTATATTAGTCTAATATGACCACAAAGGAGAAAAACTTTGGTTACATTGGAGAATTTATTGAAATGATAAGTTTATTGCATAATTTGTATAGAATGTAAATTGGTTCTAACTAATAAAGTATTTGTATATGGCTTATACAAGCTAAACAATCAAAACAATAATATGATGACATAATGAAATCGCTATGAATTGTACTAATTGTGAATGATAGATTGATTGTCTGGATTGATTATAGTCAAATTATAATTTTCTTTTTTATTAATTCAAATAAGAATAACATATGTAATAGCTGAATTCATAATTCGATTAAAGCTTGACCATCATGTGAAACCTGGAAGCAATAGATGGCTGTTTCTTCCTAGTGTGGAACTCCTCAGCGAAGTGCATCTATGATCACGCCACACACAAATCGAACCCAGGATCACCGATGGGAATCTTTAATATTCTAATCCAAATAAATAAATTTACATCAAACGAATATATATGGGATATTTTACACAAAATAGATATGAATAAAATATCATATTCTCACTAGTGACTGGCTCCAAGATGGGCTTCGTGGAGTTCTAGTGAGAAGCCGTGACTAGTGGAATCCAACCAAGTATGTTTTAGAGGCAGTTACTCACTGAAGACAGCGGTGGATGGTCGCGCAATATTGTGAATTGGTTGAAATTAAACATTAGTACCGGTGGATGCCTGCTCAATGATCTAGAGGTTGGTGTGTAGCAAGACTGTAGATGCGCATTGATGAGAGGTCATACACCAGGAAGAAACGACCGTCCAGTGCTTCCAGGTTTAGCTTTGATTGAAGTATGAATCCAACTTCTAAAAATGATTAAACTATGTTGGGAACCTCAATGATTGTTAGACATAAGTTGTTCAGATCATTGATGAACTGATGAAACTAAAGATATTAGGTAAGAAATTATTAATCGTCTTGATGCTTGATTATTTATTTTCGGAAGGCTCGAACTAGACTGATAAGAGAAACTTTGGTATTATTTTAAGTTCCATAGCTGAGAATTTTACAAATATAATTTCCTCTTTAGTATTTCACATTAAATCACTCCCCCACCCCCCTAACTCCTGGAAGCTATTCGTTTTTTTGACGAATGTATTGATATATTATGATATTAAAGCTTAATTATCAGGCTTATTGTTGAGCATATTGAATAATTACGCAATCATAAAACTTGAATTAGGACATTAGAAATCTGTTTACAATTTTTGAGGCTTAGGAAATAGAAAATCAATATTTTTTATAACTAGTTAACTCTGAATTATTGATTATGTAATATCCGAATGAAAAATCAATGAGTGATAATCCATCAACTAGATTATGTGTTTATTTATATTGATTTTATTATAAGATTGCGTTTGATCAACTGGCTATGATTAAACGATTTACTATTGTTAGTTACAGTATCTCACACTCACAGTCAATTTCGGCTTGATCTTGTATAATTATTACTTTCTATTTTATTGTATGGTGCCGTCTGAATAGAAACTGTGTATGTCTGAAATACACGATTCCTATAATAAAAGAGGCTAAGATTGTGTTATGGACTCAAACGAGCAGGGTTAGGCAAGAAGAATTAATAATGACTTATATTTGGCTCTAGGCAGCTCGTACTAGTTAACGCGTCATTGATTTGGCATACTGTCAAAGCCATATAAGTCGGTGAATTATAATCGGCGAATTAATCACGTGATAATAAACTCTGCATAAGTAAATAACTGATTAGTTCCATTGAGTCAAATGAAAACGTAATACCTTACCTGTTGAGACAATTCAGTGTTATAAATTAGATACTAAAGTAAAGAATCTTTTATCGTCTTAGTAAACAATCTAAAATACTAGTGTCTAGTTTAAACAGTTCGTTTCGACGATCTGATTATATTGAATAATTTCTAGGTTAATTATATATAGTTGAGGACGTTAGATGACTGTGTTTGATCATCGTTGTCTCCGAAGGATTGCTGACATCCAATGGCAACACCATGTTAGCAATGCAGAGGTTCAGCATCGTGTGTTTGGGCACAAAGATGATAATGCAATTGGTGTCACCATCTTGAAACACCGACTTCGGTGGCTTGGAAATGTTCTACGAATGTCGTCCCAGAGAATTCCACGTCGTGCATTATTTGCCGACTCTTGGACTGGTTGGAAGAAGCGGAGAGGTGGTCAGTGCATGACATGGTGTCGTGGGATTAAAGAAAGTTGCAAAGGACTGGCTTCTGTTGGTTCTTCACCTCTCCCTGGTTGGGGTCCGAGAGATGGTGCTACACTGTGGCTAGAGACGTTATGAGATATGGCTCAGAATAGAAGCCAGTGGCGATCCTGCTGTAACGTTTTACTTTCTTCATAAAAAGTGGTTGTATCTCCCTCACTGAAATATTTCTTCTGATTGTACCTTTCTGTTCCGCCATTTTCACCATTATTATTATTACACCATCTTACATCAATCTTTCTTTTCTCCTTCCCCTTAAATTCTCATTATTTTGTGTGGCGCATTCTTGTTCCAACATTTAAGTGTTTAAATAAATATATATGTCGTAAAGGTCGTAATTTGTTCAGTAATCTTTTTCCATTTTAGATTTGATAAAATATCACTGGGAGTATTGAAAAAGCATCAAAATAGAGCTGAGAGTATATTCAGAACTTAATTGGATTGTAGGACATTATTTCAGTTGTTGTTTTCGACTGCAGTTGTTAGAAATCACTATTAATTTTATGTCTGTCGCAACCTACAGTTTGACTTTCCTTTTATCACTCAGTGTTTATACATATATAGTGTTCCGTCAGCCGAATAAAAATGAGTAATATTTATTGATCACCTACTTGGAGGCCAGATAAATATATATTATAGTGGGCCCGCAAAATAAACTAATCAAGATGCGACAATATGCAAATAATAGTATGCCAACACAAATATTAAATGGGCTCATGTAAAGAAGAATTTGATAGAAAAAAAACTCAAAAAGTCATGTTAAATGATAAAATAGTAACAATAGTTAGGGAATGAATGCTACATGTAAGCTCACTTATGGATAATCACCTCGATTAGATTACAGTTCATACAGAGTCGAGTACTTCTGACAGTATTTCGGCCGACCTAATCGATGCTTCTTGTAGATAATCCTATCTCAAAAGTTCTTAACATGGGGTGAATTAGAAAATGCCTCAAAATTTTTAAACGTGTGTGTATAGCATGATTGCTAAGTGCTGATAACATGTTCTCACTACGTCCACGTACAAATTAAAAAGATCTCTATCGATTGGCGTAAATATTTATTTATTGTCCTCAGGTGCACGTCGCGTGTGAATAGAAAACACTAAGAAGTTGCTATTGTTAATAAACTGTAAGATTGACAAATTATAGTTAACAGCGCATGTTTTATAGCTGTGAGTTCATCCTTCAAGTGGCCTTTCGTAGTTGAGTGTATGCCATAAGGTCATTTGAGATGACTCAATCATCCGAGTGCAAAACATTTATTGTTTGAAATCCATGGTCTAAGCACTTTTCAATTGTGGAAAAAAACTTGAGATCCACACCGCTATTGTCTTCCTAGTTAAATCAGATAGTAAAGGTAGTTCAGTAGGAATCACACAAGAAATCGCCGTAGTTGATGTGAAGAACATGTACTTCAAAACTGCTACGAGTAGATGTGTAGTATATTATTTGCAAGATCATCTCACTCTTTCGATGTATTCAGTCTAGTTCGTAGGAACGTAATGTTACAGGAGTTTTATTCGGTAAACCGGCAGCAAGGAAGTTAATGCGCTGAACCATTTATCTCGTTTGATCGCACCAGGTGTCAGTATGGCAATAAAAGTGTGGGATAAGAGGTGTTGTGTAACTGTGGATCTGGTAAGTCAGTCTATGAATAGCACCTAACAATGACCCAAACCTCTATATATGTATCACTATAACCCTGTCCTACATGCCAGTATCTTTCAACAATAGATAAGTACAGACGCAATTAGACATACTGTTGCAAGTCCCATTAGCCCATTTAAGGTCGCCGGCTGTGGGTGCATAATTCACTTGTCTGTGCGAGGTTTGCTTGTGTTTCCTCTGCCATTGTTGTTTTTCGCAGGCCTGTACTAAGAATCACAGGCGCGGTGCAGCGGACAGTCCAGTAAGACACACTTGATATCATATGATTTTGCCAGGTGAGTGTCAAGGGAGATGTGGTGCTGAACCAATTATATTGTTTGGCAATGCCAACATTTTGCTTTCTGACACTAGTATCGCACTATAGTGACCTCGCTCGTGGTCGCCATCTAGAGTCAGAGAGAATACACAAAGAACGTATGAAGACATTCATTTTTATTTTCGTTGTTTAAACAGTTGTCATCAACACCGTGACAATATTGCTTCTCCGTTGAATGAAAATGCCGTAATTGTTAAATATGCAGGTTTCCGTGCCTTTGTAGAGTGTACTTCGTTCTCAGTAATGACGTCGATATTCCACACTCAACAACTGGAATACGGAGAGTGCATTCAATGGCACTTTATTTTGACGCCGATAAAATCGAGCGTTGATGACATCGACAGGCTTAACACTTTCACTGAAACTGTATCTGACTGCAGTCAGATCTTATGACGAATGCTATCGAAATGTGCATAACAACGATCTTTGTTAGTGAATTACGGCATGGAAAAAGCCAAATACGAGAATGGATTTTGAATATGTATATTTCATACAATCGTTGATCCAGAGGGACGATCAGAAAAACGAAGCGAAGAAAACAGAGGAGATCGATGCGAAAGAAAATAACGCGTGGTACTGCATCAGCCACTACAAGTATGATTTTCAGCTCGCTTGCGATACTAATAAGGAAAAGGTAGCCTGTTACTACACTTGTTTAGGTGGTAGCAAACATTGTTCCAGTTTGCCGTAACGTACAATTAGGAGTGAACGTCCTGTTATGTTTGCATGAACAAAAAAAGAAGTGGCCGTTAATATTATACGATGCGCATTAGGTATCGAGGGATTTGCGATGAACCGAGCTCGAGAATAGATAATGAATTACAACCTAACTCATGGGCATGCTATTATGACACTCAGTAGTTTACATGTTTGCCGGTCATTTTGTAAAAGGGTGAATACAATTTGATATGCAGTCTAACAATTGTAGTCACGAGACCCGTTTGCAAGAGCTTCTTTGTGTCGGCTGGTGAACTATAAATTATTCTTACTACAATACTTTAGTTACTATTTACGTGTCATCTTATTTATGGGATCAGATGGCCTGAAGTGTCTCACTAGATATTGATTAGACCGTAAATAAATCTAGACAAGCGCACATAACGCACTCCTCCTTCCTCGTTCTTCTAGTGGTTGACTGGATTATGAAGACCTCCACATCTCAGGAGGAGCATGGAATACAATACACAGATTGGATACAACTAGATGATTTGGACATAGCATATGACTTTGTTGTGCTATCCCATACACAGCAATAAATGCAGGCAAACACAGCAGGTGTAGAAGAGACCTCTGCAGCAGCACGCCTCAACATACACAAGGGAAAAACCAAGATCCTCAACTACAACATGGAGAACACCAGCCCAATCACGCTTGATGGAGAAACTCTGGGAGAGGTGGAATCTTTCACGTACCTACGTGGCCAGCATCATCGATGAACAAGGAGGAACTGATGAGGATGTAAGGGAAGGGATTGGCAAAGCAAGGACAAGATTCCTACCGTCGAAGAACATATGGAACTCAAAACAACTGTCAATCAACATCAAAGTTGGAATCTTCAATACGAACATCAAGACAGTGCCATTTTACGGAGCTGAAATTTGGAGAACCATCACACCCATCATCAGAAAAGCAGAAGTATGTCTATACAGTTGTCTGAGCAAGATACTCCATATCCGTTGACCGGATACTATCAGCAACAATCTACCGTATCAAAGAACGAACCAATGTCCAGCTGAAGAGGAAACTAGATAAAAGACGATGGAGGTGGATGCGATGTACATTTTGGGAACCACCAGACTGCATCACGAGGCAAGCATTAACTTGAAGTCCTGAATGGTAAAAGTAAAGAAGAAGATCGAGGAGTGCAATGCGTCGAGAATTAGAAGCAGGCATCAAGAGGAAGGAATAGAAAATTGAAAGGGCTTCCGAGGACAGAGTTTGATGGAGAATCCTGGTGGGTGACCTATGCTCTTCCATGAGAGGTAACAGACTTAAGTACGTAAGGATAACGAACATAAATGACCAAATATACTCACTCTTTAGTTTTAAGATCTTGACCGGAATAGTCCAAAAAGATACCTTCATCTGGATGACAAATCGCTCGTTCAATTATACGTGAAGAACGTTCAAGAAAGCGTAGAAAAGCATCGGATGATAATAATTGAGCTTTTTCCTCCTCTGACATTGGGATAACTAGCAAAGACACGATAAACCAAGGTCAATAAAATCAGTGAAATCAAACTCATATTTATCAAAAAATATGGTGTTCAAAATTAAATATATATATAACATAATGGATAGAGCGATAAAAAATATTAGACAAAATGCCAAACACAATTGAAACTGTATACTAAGTTGTACACAAAGATGACTTAACTTTTACAAAACAACAAACTAAATCAGATAACCGATACATAGGAAACACATCATTGTAGTGTTTACATAAACATCAATGACTAAATTCACTTTGATTTAGATCAGCTGACAAAAGAGTAATATGATTGACAGCATCCTAAAATTCACAGTAGTAGTAGTAGTAAAGAAGAGCTCAGATAGTTATTTGCAAAGATATTAAAGGATTATGAGGTATTTTATCGATCTAATGATAATTTTTGCATCTCTTAAGAATGTTCACTTCGTCAATTCGCAAACTTGATTCAGTCCTACAGGTGAATAGATAAGAACTTTCATATATATGATTATTAAGTTTAGAGGAGTGAGATTTCAATAATTTAAGGTAATAAAAACACGAATTTCAGCGAAGGGATCTCTTTTCAACGAATTTATTATCAAGCTGTACAATCGTATATATATGATTGACCTTTAATTATTATTATGACAAAATCATTTTAATCATCTTATTATATTCACCAAATCTATTGTTATTGTTATTATTCATATTACGTAATCTAGTATTATAACCCTTTTATTAACTGTGTTCACATTTCCTCACGGAATTAGTACTTTTACAAAAACAAAATTTTTATTTATATACGATTGCACAGCTTGATAATAAATTGGTTGAAATGAGATGCGTTCGCTGAACTTCGTGTTTCAATTTTAATGTTTAAAGGGGAATTATCTGTCAATTAAGGTAATAAATCTACTGTGCTACTAAATACCAAATTCCCATCTCAGTATATTTACAAACCATACTACTTAGAATCAAGTCAGTCGATTTTCACTAGGGAGAGCAGAAATAATAAACAAACAAAAAAAGTACTAAATAACTATCGAAAATGAATAACATGCTTTGTAAGTTTGATGTACATTAGTGATTGCATAAGTCAGTCATGTGCAAAATGACTACATGGAAATTCACGTATTGTTATATCGCCTTATCCAATTCAGTTGAAAACCTCAAGTTGAAATAAATCGGACTATAAGGACCCAAATGTACTACATAAGAAAATTAACTTCATAGAAGCCGTAACATAAGTTATTTCGACATAACCGTTCTCATTATATATATAAAGTTTGGATCGATCCACGTATTAATGACAAAAGACATTGTGAAACAAAATGATGCACAATTTCATAAACTTCAGGAATTTATCTGGAGGTGATTGATTTCGAACACCTTGATAATAAAAATATTTAATCGCGGATGTTAATGGTTCCATTAGCAAATCAATTACAAATAGTGGGACCATAAGAAATAAAGTTGTCCATAGCCACCGTAACCGGTGGTTAGTTAAAATAATTTGGAATGTTGCATAGACATCAACAACTAACTACCGCAGATAGGCTTCCAGATGGTTGTTATTTAACGTGAGAATTAGTAGGGGGAAAACTAGACCATGAACTATTCTAAAAAGAAAATACATTAAGTAGAAACTAATAATATAAATATTATTATTGAATTATATTGAAATATCGACAAAGAATTTCGTTCAGATGAGACGGATCGCTTGGATGTTGCTTATGATTCTACCGATACGATGTCCTATGATATTTGAAATTAATATGAATTTCTTAAAGAGTACGTTACATCTAGTGAGCCAATCCACAATCCTTGACCTGTTTATGTGAATATACACTGAAGACAACTCTGATATCAACGAGGGCATAGAATCAACACTCCATAGTCATTTGATATTAGCACAAAAGGAATTAAATGTGAAAAGCAACGATATATGATACAGTTTGTAGAAATAAGAAACTCAATGAAAACATTGTGAACAGAAAAATAGTGGAAATTACAAAGACTTTTTTATAATATTGCTTAATTTTAATGTAAATTACGTACTATCATTACGTTGAATATCATTTGAGGTATTCTCGTCAACACCATCAATACTTGTCCGTATTCCATCAATTTTATCTAATACTCCACGAGATTGTCCAGTTTTGGTGACACCGATATGAGGCATCTTTTCTAGTTCCGCTAATGCAGCATTGGCATCCACTTCATCGCGATTACTTTCATCGTATGTTAATACTGTGAAAAAGAAGAAGCATTGTTCCATACAACATACAAAAACTAATGTAATACAATGATGAAATCTTGCACACGTTGAGAACAAACATGCTGTATAATATCATTCACTAGTATATTAAGCGAAATATTTTCAGTATTCATTAGAGGGGTAAGGTATACATACACTCAAGTGATATATATACGTAAAAATGTAAAGCGGCACTAATATAATAACATTTAGTAAGCTGTCACGATCGTGTTTAATCAGTATCACTTGACAAGGTTTACCAATCAGAATCTAGACTACAATTCCCTATAAACCAAACTTCTATTGTGATCTGAGCACACACAAGCTATGACTGATAAGAATTAAGCTTTTACTATGACAAAGGCAAACGTACCTTTTTCCATAATGGCAAGGCTCCTAGGGTATCGTCCACTGTTGGGGGTTGCGAGCACTTGAAGGTCAAACTGTCGCGAAATGATTGACGCGTCACATCGATAATTCGTGAAAATTTTCAGAAGCGGTCAAATCAAGACATATTTAGATTTGAATTGAGTTCAGCCACACTATGTCTGATAACGTTCATTCTTCAAGTAACGAAGACGATTCCATTGTGATGATGCATGATATAGGACGAATCTTCAATGATATTATGTTATCTCGAAGATTTACAAGTTGGGACAATTTTGAGACCATTTTGAAAGAAGTACATAAGGTAATATGACCTCTGTGGTTAATAATTATTTTTTTACTATACGCATACGAAGTACGTTATGTCAGTATGCAAAAAGAACAGTGATGATCCAACTCTAAATTACTTTTTCGCGAGATATGTCTGTACATATGGACGTAAACGCAGTTCGTCAGAGTCAGATGCTCGCGTTCAGGATGTAGATGATGATAGTAATAATTATTCGTCTGAAGAGCATACAACTTCTGACTCGCCAACGCAATCTAGGCAAAGGAGACGACGTCGGCCATCTACGTATGCCTTACTTCAAATGAATTTATCCTTCAGGTCGAAATATTGCCATTGTCAGTCTGGATTTTGGGTCCAGGCAGTAAATGGTGATATTAACATCTTGGTAAGTGTTATTATCATCTATAGCATATACATAATATTTACAACAGTCAGGACACCTTATGTTTTCACTATAAATCTATTTCCGCCATAAAAGTCGAACAAAACAGTGAAACTCAGCAGAAATTGTGATAAAGATGGGAAAAACGATAAATCTTACCATGGTATCGTTAGTTGCAACGCAGTTTTGGTAGCCTTGACGACAATACAATTTTTATGACGATATATGCCTGAATCTTGCTATTTCATATAAAAATAAAAAGTTTGTCTACCATCAGTGTATACGTAAGAAGTAATAATTGCTAATCTGCGATGCAAACACGAAAAAAACTATTATAGCAGCACCTGAATAATGAATTTTCAAGGACTTCACGATACCATGTAACGCAAAATGAAAAAACCCTTTTTTACCTAATTATGAAGACGGAAAATAGACTTTCAAATTTATTCATAATAAATTTCGAAATTTGGTTGTGCACAAAGCAGAAATGAAAAAGTAGCGCAAAAAAGTGTCGCGATACACCTGGAGCGCTGCCTTCCATAAGTAGCGTTCGATTTTCCGTTTGCCGCCAGTAAGTTTAGAGCCAAATAGTGAAGCCGGTCGTTGGAATTCGCTGGGACAACGCTAACTTCTGCGCCAGTGTCGACGAGGTAGCGAAATCTCGTTGTCACATCTGTGACGTACAACAGACGTCTATGTTCGCCGGCTACGGTTGCCGTTAACGCGTGTCGGCTTGGAAGTTTCCCGAGTTGTTTTTCGAGTCAGTCGGTTTCGTGCTGAGAAAATTGCAGGGTTTTCTGCAATTTCTGGAAGGCTTTCCATACTGGTTATGATACCAGCACCACTTGGGGTTATCCGTCTCTCGTTTTCTAGAGACCGATCGCTTACGTGAACTGCTTCTACGTGGGCTGCGTGATCGCTTACGGTCGTTACGCAAATTAAGACACCGCGTAAGTGTATGACATAACTCGGTTATGTCATTCTGAGTCGTTTGAGGCTTTTTTTTACTGAAAATACCTCGGTAGTAGAAGGTTTCGTTGTTTCTAAGATACGGTCGGCAGATGCAGCCAGCTCGTCTTAGGTGTTGTTCTGAAACGAGACCAGAACCGCTTGAACCTGTTGAGGACGTTTAGACAAGCAAAGTTGTTTGAATAGGCCTTTGTCGAAAGTTTTCAGGTCTATCACTTCTCTCATTCTTTGCAACTTGTCGGTCGCAGAACCGTGCTGCAGGTCTATGTTATTGAATAGTTGATCTAACCTTTGTCGATCGGTTAGGTCTACTCGTTTAAGAATCGATCGTTTTAAGGTTTCGTAAGGTTCAGAAACATCACTAGTAAACATACTAGGTGTTACGTACCTGATGAATTCCCGCGGTAGTGCCCTGACTACTGCGAAGAATTGTGCACGTGTGTCGTTCACTCCGTGCTCGTACAAGTCGTCTTCTGCGTAGCAGAACCACGCTTCGATATAGTCGGGCCAGAGGGGCATGAGTTGGAACGAGGGTGGGGACATGATCTTAATTTTAAATACCTTAGGAGTCTGTTCGGTCATAGGGGAATATTAAGTACGAGAATACGAGGGGAAAATATATAGATTTCCCGAGACATGGCGAAAAAATATCACAATGTATAAAAAATAAAAAAATAAGGCAATAATATATAAAAATCCCAAAAAGGAACAGACTCACAGTTGCAATTAGATGTACCAATCACGTCGGTCTCACCAATGATGATGGCACAGGTTTTCAGTGTTTGACAACGCTTTCAACAGTAACATCTTCTAATATAATTCGTATTCACGAAGAGAAATCAAAAGACAGAGTCGAGGAGATCGGAAGAATGTATTTGGCGATAACCAATATATTGGAATTCTCTGATCTAATCTGGTTAGCGATTGCGGTAGATGTTGAGTACAGCGTTACCACACGTGATCTGGTGCGGATGCATGACCGAGCGCCTTCAGCTAGATGAGTGCACTAAAACATATGGTCAGCATCCAATGTCGAAAACTTACAGAGATTCAATCAGAAAAGCACAAGTATTTCTACACAGTTGTCTAAGCAAGATAATCCATACCCAATGATCGGATACTATCATCATTAATCTACCGTATCAAATAATGAACCAAAATCTAGCTGAAGAGGAAACTAGATAAAAGACAATGGAGGTGTATAATGTTTCGAATTGTTTGAATTATAGCACGAACTAAGAGTCCATGAAGTAACGCAATTGAATTAAGAAGACACAGGCACAACCGAATGTACTGTATTTGGAATTCAAAATCGTACAATCAACCAGTACAATAGTATCATTTGTTCGTTCAAACACCACATCCGTCACAGCTTAAATTGCAGTCTGGGTGTTAGTAATCAATCGTACGTCTTCTTCTCAAATTCATCCTGGGTCTGTCTGCCATTATATTCGAAAAGGATTCTGTATTATCTAGAATTTGCTCATTAGCATTAGAATTAACAACGGAAATTGGAACAGACTCACCTGGTTCCTGAAATTGTATTTGATCAACATGTCGAGTGTGTGTACTTAAATCATTGATGTCTAGAATTCGGACCATCGATTTTCCGACATTCTTCAGAACAATACCCGTAGATGGTCGAAGATCATTTCCCCGATAATATGTAACTTCTGTGAACTCCAAACATCTTATATTCGACCGAAGAATTCTACCTTTCAATAGCTTCGCTGGAGTCTCCTTCGTCACCGAATGTCTGGCATTTCTATATTGCAATAGAAAGGTATCTACTCCCCTCTCCAGCTCATTAAATGTTGAGGCGGCTATAGAATCAATGTCCTGACAAAATTCTCTGCCTGACCATTAGAACACGGATGTCTGGGAGCAGTAAACAGATGTTTGCACCCTATACCGTTCAACCAGGTAGTGACTGCATCTGCAGCAAAGTGAGAGCCATTATCAGTCACTAACACCATTGGAACCCCTTCTGGACTAAACGCCTTTCTTAATGCTTGGATTGTGAAGTCAGAATTAGGTGAAGTTATAATAAAAACTTCAGGCCATTTTGAAAAAGAATCAATAACTACTAGTGCATAGTATTTGCCAAGAAACGGACCACAATAGTCAGCATGAATTCTCTGCCAGGCCTCAGACGATACTGGCCATGGCGTCCACTTCGAAGGATGACTTTTCAAATGATGACATTTCTCACAATTGTTTGCTGTACGACATATATCTGCATTTATCTCTGGCCACCAACATGTGAGCCTTGCCAAGGACTTCATTTTCTCAACACCTAAATGACCACTATGAAGATCTTCAAGAACAGATTTACGCAATGAAGGAGGAATGACAACACGATCATTTAAACACAGAATACCATCAGGAGTAGTAGACAGCTCATACCTCTTTGAAAAATAGATAGGAAATCTACGTTTCAAATTAGCAGTCCAGCCTTTTCGTATAGCACTGAGTATACATCCAAAATATCTGCGAGTTTCTCTAATGAGATCTGGACGTCTCACTGGTAAAAGCTGCACTAGCAAACAGTCCAAAGTATTAATAGATCTATCTTGTAATGACTGTCGAGAAATGTAGTCAACATGTTGAATTTGCTTGTCACTTCTGTGCTGAACCGTATAGCCATATGCACTCAAAGCAATACTCCATCGTTGAACCATAACAGCTGAGGAACGTGCTAAGCTTCATGATCAGTAACAATAGTGAATTTCTTTCCGAATAAATATTTATGAAGTCTTTTAACAGCCCAAAACACAGCTAATGCTTCTCGCTGAGTCTGTGAATAACCTTGTTCAGTAACAGTGAGTTTGCGTGAAACACAAATAACTGGTCTACCTGCCTGTTCCAAAACTGCACCGATTCCCACAGGTGATGCATCAGTAATAAGCACAGAATGTACACTAGGGGAGTACGTTCGAAGAACAGCATAACTTTGAAGAAACTTTAGTAGATTACGTAAGCATGACTATTGTTCCTCATTCCATTTGAATGAATTGGATGTCAAAATATTAACTAAACAATTTGCACGACAAGAAAAATTAGGAATAAAACGGGAATAGTATTGAAGAGCACTCACTAGTGAACGTAATTCCGTAAGATTTTTTGGAGACGGGGCATTTGTCAGTGGAACTAGTCGTTTCATATCTGGTCTAAAACCATTACCATCAACTAGGTACCCAAGGCATTCAAAACTAGATACACAAAATGAACACTTATTTGGATTCACTGTAATATTTTTTTCAATTAAACCACACAATAAAGCAATAAGTCTCTGATCATGAACTACCTTATTATAACCATGAACAATGAGGTCATCTTGATAAACTTCAACACCTTCAAGATCACTAACTACTTCATTCATAACTTCCTGAAATATGGCTGGAGAACAACTTAGATCAAATGGAAGAAAATTGTATTTGAACAGACCAAACGGAGTGTTAATTGTCGTCACAATAGATGAAGATTGATCTAAAGGAATTTGAAGATAAGCATCTTTTAGGTCAACTTTCGAGAACACTTTAGAACCATGAAGTCGATTTAGAATATCTTCAGCCTCCACCGTCGTGCACGTTTGCTTCAACAAACGGGAATTCAGAGTTAATCTATAGTCACCACAAATTCTAGGGGTCTTGCCGTCCGACTTCAGTGGCGTAACGATAGGAGTACCTCATGCTGAAGACTGAATTCGTTCAATTATGCCTTTCGCACACAAATCGTTTAATGTTTTATGTACTGCTTCTCGAAGACTATAAGGAATTATTCGTCTTTTAAGAAAAACTGGATCACCCTGTACTTGAAGTTTTATAGGCTGAATTTTCATACCTCCACTGCACTTAGCACACCTAGCTATCAAATCTTTAAGTAAAGTATCAGAATTCTCCTTAGAAACTAGGAAGGACAACTCCACTTTAAGCCTTTTCAAATTCTTTAAACCTAATATTGACAGTCCTGTTTCGCTTACTAAAAATTCACAAGGTATGTATGAAGAATTATCATCTTTGATTAGCAATTCACAGCATCCTCGTATGGGCAGTCTGTGTCCAGTAATCTCCTATATTGATACTTCAGTGGGTCGTACCACAACGTTAGGATCTAAGAATTTCAAGTTCTTGAATGAAATAATGGACTCTTTACTGCCTGTGTCCACAATAAAGTCATGAAATGAACCAAGCGATGTATATAGTCGCTTTTGAATATGAGCATTATCTTTCGAAATAGTAGACAAAGATAAATGATCGCTAGAAACACCCGAATTATTGAGATTTAAATGACAAGATTTAGTACTACTTGAAGCAAGATGAACAGTAGCTTTGCATACTGACTGAATGTGTCCTATCTTACCACATTTAAAACATTTAGCATTACGAAATGCACATGAATTACGAGGATGAAACTTTCCACATGATAAACATTTACCAAACTTCATCTCACCTTTGTGATTTGCTTTGTAATCCCTTGTTGAAACACCTTTCATATTTACACGAGAATAGGATTCACCGTTAAATGAACGCAAGTTCGATTGACCCTGAGATTGTAGTTCATCAGGACGACTAAGCAAAGTATTAGAAATCTTCATCGACTGGATATCTAGTTCATTCACTGCTTCATAGTTAATACACGCAGTTCTAGCATCTTGAAAGGAACAGTTTGGCATTCTTAACAGCTCTCTTTCCAAACTCGGCATGTTAATTCCTGCAATTAATCGATCTCTCAGTTGTACATGAAGTTGATCACCGAAATTACACTTGGCAGCTTGTTTCTGCAATTCAAGGATGAATTCCCGAACTTTTTGATCATTTTGACGAACCATCTTATGAAATTTCGCCCTTTCACGGCATTCAAAACTGGTGCATTTTACATGATTTAATAATAGCTCTTTAAGAGTTGCATAAGGAAGTGAGATAGGTTTTTCTGGATATGCCAAAGTTTTTAATAAGCTGTAAGCTTCTCTCTCAATGAATGTCAGGAAATGTGTCACAATTTTATCACATTTGACATCTTTCTTAGTCATGCTCCAGATTTCAAACATTTCCAAATAATCCTCAAATGCTTCCGAAGTTGAATGAATGTTCAACTTTTCCATTGTAGGTTCCATCACGATGCCAGTATGGTAAAAGTAAAGAGGAAGACTAGGAAGCACATTGCGTCGAGAATTATAAGCAGACATCAAGAGAATGGAATAGAAACTTGAAAGGACTTCCGAGGACAGAGTTTGATGGAGAATCCTGGTGGGTGACCTATGCTTTTCCATGAGAGTTAACAGGCTTATGTAAGTAAGCTATTAAGTAAGGTCTCTATGATGTTAAGCTGTTTCGTCGAACATCCTCAGTCGAAAATATTTATTCAACCTGCTCAAAACTTAACGGGAACTAGTTACCATGACAAACACTGAAAACAACGCTAATTTTTATAATTTAATTCAGTGTTTGCTGATGGAAGCCGGATTAAATTTTTATGAAACTCATTAACTGAAATTTTGGAAGTCTTAAGAGTTTGCTGCTCTAAAGTATTATTTCATGTTGTAAAGAATAAGGGGTGTAAATGCCCCATATATCTTATCCTAGCTAATGACTGATGCTCTCGATTGCTCTCCCTCACCTGCATGGACTTTGTATAAATTCAGTCTATGAACGGAGGAATTCACGGCATCTACAAAGGATAATGTTGTCTTCCAATGAGTCTTTCAAAGAATGCTCAACATTCATTATCAGCTGAATGGATTTTTGGGAAAATACTCATGACGCTGAGTCTCAGTTACTACTTTATTTGTTGACTTATACTTATATGTTGTGTTCCAGTGAATAATTGATATCCCCAATAAAGTGATTAATTTTTGAAAGGTTTCAAGCTTAAAGTGATTTTTTTGATGAATGATAGGCAGTCAGCCTGCATTCCAAAATTTGTTTATTTATGCCAGTTTAATAACAGTGAATGTGAAACAAAGATACACTAAATTTAAAATCACTATTAGGATTTCGTGCTTTGGTTCAATGGATTTAAACATGATGAACTGTGATTCAAGCTATTTATAGCTATGGGCTATGAGAGTCCTATGTCACTTAAAATTGAAATAAACATAGAGAATGAACTTGGAGTTTTTGAGCCTCGAGATGATGTTGCTGGTCATATATTAATAAAAACTGAAGAAGATACAGAAATTGATAGTGAGTAAATTCGGTATAATTTACGAAACATATTTTAAATTTAAGGCATATTCATGTTTTGTTCACTTCGAATCATTGACTTCAAGACTTAAATTTATACAATAGATTTTAATTTTAGTACGACACCTATCTTTCAACAAGCTTCATTTAAGTTTATTTACGTCATAACCAAAAATCAAAGTAGTGCTATGAAAAACGTTCAATATTTTTTTCTGGAAACGGATCATCGAACAAACCGCAAATATAAATACCTAAATATTTGTTTCATTTTCCTCATCTAGTTCATTAAGTCGTATGAAACAACTAAGTGATAGTTTGAATTAGTGTAAGAAGAAAAGAGCACGTTGAACACTGCTAGCATCATACTGAGTTTTGAGCCTTTTTAGAGTGTTACATTGTAGGTTTACATTCCTATTTCACATTGCATAAAGAAAGCTGTCGAACTACAAAACTAAATTTAAAATCTGGCTATATGTACTAAAACAGTATTTAATTTTATCTTCGTGTGACAAATACAACGAGGAGATGACTTTAAATAGGTCTCAAACTGGCAGGATCATGATAGTTAGTAGCATTCAAATCAATGTTTTAACTGAAAATTCCGAAATTGTACAATGTAAGGCAAGTAGAGCTAGATGAGAACACATGAACGTACCATATCTGAAATTCGTAACAAAAGCGCAATCAAGTGCATAGGAATCATCAGGTAGTATAGATGTCACAGGGATGCCGAATTTTAATATAAATCTCCCTACAAAAATTATAGCGGTGCAGTATATATACATCCTCCCTGACTAGTTTGTTTGTTAGCTCAGTGCTCAACTTCTACTCAACAAGATTCAGTGACCGCTTTACGATCACCAAGTTATTTTTTGTTGGCTCTCCTTATTAGTCTGAAAACTCAGTTCTTTGGTATCTGATAAGGTATATTTACTTACTTTGAATAACTTTCCTCACTTTCTGCCAAATAATTGTACAATTTGTTGAAGTAGCTTATCGTTTCACTTTTTGTGAACGTTCTGTTTGTTTTATGTTTTCTTCTTAGCTTTTAATAACGCTTTTATTTCGAAATAAACCTTATTTATATCAGATATTGCAATTTTAATTAAAACCTGGGTTTTCATACATTTGGCAAGCTAATACTTAGCGACATACCAATACTCTTTTATTAAACGGATCTCTAAATCTGCTATAATAAACCAAACATCAAAATCATCTCACCCAAATGTGATGGTATTGATCAAAATACTACATCAATTTTAGTTTTTCTTCACTGTATTTGCTTGACTGTTTCTACAGAAAATTGTTGACTCAAACAAAATTTTATGAAACATCTCTTGTTTTTATTGCTTCCTTTGAAGTGTACGATAGTTTATTGGTTACTGAAAACTGAATGGTCATTTTGGGGTTAAAAACCTGATTTGTGTGCTTCGTACGTCATTCGAATAATCTAAGTGATATGAACTTACCAACAAGAATATGAGGTAATGTCTAAAAACTCTTTACTTTTAGTAAACTAGAAACCTTGTGCATTTTTCGGTCTGTTCATATCAAAACGTATTGCATCAAATAATAATCAAAATATCTTAGTAAGTTCCGTTATTATAACAATTGGCTAAAATCGTTTTCTAATTGGGGAAAAACTTGTAAACTTTCAAGAAAAACAACGTCATAAGCTACAAAAGTTTTAAAAATTTATATCAATTAGGTGGCCTAAAGCAACACATTTGCACTGATCCGAGACCAGTAGTAAAGATTATCATCTCGGTATTTGTTAAGAACAATAATTAGTTTCATATTATACTAGCGCTATGTGTGCGTTCTTTTTTAATATCTGCATCTTTAATACTCGATCATGAAGTAAATAATTTAGTTGGAGAAATCCATTTATAAGTTTTACATTTGGTGCGTTATTGTTTTGACTAGAGATAGTAGTCAGAAAGGTTTTAAGCAAAACCTCTTTACAGAAGATATCACCAAAAGTAGCGAAATTTATGACTGAAATTCTGTTATATCAGTAGTCACTCAAAATACGTCTTATTTGCCACATATTCTGAGAGTAAAATTGTAATGCAAATAAACTTTACGAGTTGAATATACTTCTGTTAAAACGCCTAACTTTGCACTAATTAACGTTTTTTGACTCCGTGGCCTTCGTTTAATTGTTATCAAGCAAATGGCTAAACGTTATTCATATCAAAGATCATTTTAATGGGTATTTTGTACACTCATTCAAACTTTAATTATTGTCTGCTTTAGCTGTGTGATAACATTTGACTTTTTATATTGTGATTTGGATTACTTTCAAAACACACAAGTTTTTAAAAATAGCGATTGAAGTAGACGTTGGCTGAAAGACAGGGGTATCTAAAACTGAGTTTAAACACCTGGGTAAAAATGTCGTCGTCTTTGACAAAAAACATGTATGCTAAAGTTGCCGACACTTTATTCGTCATTTGGTAAAATAAAATATTTACTGGTCAAAGTTTTTATTTAACAGCAGTACAGAATTTTAATTATTAAAAAGGAGGAGGCTTTGACAGAGCGTCTGAATTTTTAAGTGACAAACTTAGACTGAAGTATTCTTTTAAAAATAAACTGGCAAAATACCCTTTGTTCTGTAGTTAACATACATTCATCTTTATGTTCGAACAGCTTTTGAGATTGATTTCTTGTTTTTTTTAATGGACATTTTTGCTACACTATCTTACAATTGTAGTTATCTCAAAACGTTCCTGAATAAAATTCACTTTATATCTGTCAAATATAGAAAACGAAACACAGTGACATTTCTGATATTTTAAAATCGGTAAAACGGTTGATTTTAGATTTTAAAGTGATTACATTTACTCAAGAATAGTGTCTTAATTGCCTTACCAGAAGGCAAATCATCTCAGCTTCTCAAACACAATTAATGCTATTGTAGTTCCTTAGAGTAAGCCATCATATAGTTAGATATAAAGGATCCTTGTAATTATGCTAAATCAGTACAATAAATTGACCTACAGGCAAATTGTAATTTAAACGTTCTTGAATTTGAAGAGACGTTGAACTGTTCGATGTATGGTGCCAATTGTTTTGAAATCCAGTGTGACGTAGGTCGAATTAGCTGATATGAATTTTGTCAAGTAAAGTGGTTTGATCAAAATAAACCTCAGTTGTCAAATATTTTTGTCACTTTCTCCGTATACCTTTTCACCTCTTTTGAGCAAACATTTCACTTCTTATCAGTTTTATAGAGGAACAGCTCCACGGTAGTCCTGCAAATGAAAGTAATCTTTTACTGTGATTGTATTTATTGTTCAGTGCCTGTAAATTCAAAAATATGTTTGCATAGGATCTTCTTTTATTTAGTTATTTTTTATTTATGGAGTTTTATTATTTTAGGACCACGTTAATGAACGCCAATCCGTACATCATGTCCGTTCATAAATGTCTCACTGTCACCTGTAATTCTATTTTCGATTGGTAACTGATAGATGCTGAATTTTAGAATAACTGTCTTGCTCATCCTAGGATTTGTCAAGTAAACCTAATCGAACAACAGAAAATATTTGCATTTTACTTAGACCTGAAACTGGGACATGCCACTTAAAATATCAGTTCTAATTCAGTTTTGGGCAATAAAACTGAAGAAATCTTGTATTCTGGGTTCTATATTGATCATCATCAAATGTAATGTACTCAGAGTTATAACTAGAATTCAAACCCAAACCTTTGTGTGCATGGCGGCCCGTTTGAGCGCTTGAGAAATTCATTTCCCAACCATACCAGCAATAGAAGTAACCCACCATTTTCAGATCTATTCGGACTAAATCATTATGAGTGGTAACCGTGTCTACTTACAAATTGTTATAAAAGGGTTATAAATTTTAAAAATACTAGTTGCTGGAAGAATCAAACAAAAACACTGACATATTTTCATTTTAACCTATCCTTTAAAACACAGAGAAAAACATATTATGCAATTCAAGCATATTTTATATGTTAAATGGAAAAAATAGTCGTAGTAGCTGGACTGGTAGGAAACCTTGATGATAAAATCAGGTTGGAAGATACTGATTCTTAAAAACATTTCCGAGATATATTTGGATAATTCTAATTTTAATGTATACTAAAGAGACATTTGCAGTAATATTGTACAGTTGGTACTAAGGATCATTTACTGTGTTAAAATTCATAGTGTCGAATAAAACTATTAATAATATTATTATTATCACATCACTTTTATTATTGAAGGTAATGATTGTCTTTCGTTCAGATTGTCCTGTCTTGTTAACTAAATTAACAAAGCATTCAATAATAAATAATAATAATAATAAAATGATAAAAATATTTCTTCAGTAATAATAAAGCATTCGATATAATTTAGATTTAGTTTTGTTTAGGATGATGAGTGATGAGAATGCTTGTGTGACATTAAGTGAAAAAGATATTAGATTTTAGAACGATATACACAAAACGTTATGAAAGATGGATTTTTAAAGAAGCTATCGAGTAATTTATACTTATAAAACTTCCAATAGTTCTAAATGTATTAGTTTAGTGTAATGAGTTAATCAGCACTATTTCACTAAGTATGGATATCGTTACTTGTTCAGTAAAAGTTTAATTATCTAGTTTCTATCATGAAATAATAACCAAGATGGAACCTAGTGTTAGTGCATATTTTATTCGAATCTTCACAATCTTAATAGAGCAGCAAAAATTTAAAATTATTTTACAATTCATTTAAAACTACTTAACATCGTATGGATTATATTACTACTACTATTATTACTACTCAAATACTTTATGCATCAAACTTATCGAACTAAGTTTTCATCCCAATAAATCTAATAAAGGATAAATAAAAAAAATCAATACTTAATTAATCATTCAATCGAATTACTTCGAGAGAAAAAAAGATAATTATTTTTTTAAAAAAAAAACTGGAAGATTCTGTAAGAAATATAAAAGAAATAGGAAAAATAACTGTTAATCAGTATTTATTAACCTTA